GGTGGCTATAATGATAAGTCGGATTTTGTGGACTCTTAGTATATGATATTTGATGAACTTGAAAAGTTTTTGTTCGAGTATAAGTGATTGTTAAGGCATGAGGGAGTATTGGGTTTAATCTCACATCAGAAGATTGAAATATATATTTGTGTAGAAATATCAAAGTTGGTTAGCTCTCATGCACAGGCTTAAAGTTTTTTTTTGTTGAGAATAGATTTAACCGTTTGTTTGTTTGTACTTTGTAGCATCCAATTTTATGTTTACATGTATCTGATATGTTTGAAGATGAATTATATATCTCATATAAAATTTTCATGTATTATTTTCATTTTTTCGCATTGTTATTCCGTTTCAGACTGATGCTTTAATACGATTATTGCCATTGATTGGCTCCTCAAGTATCAGGTAATACTTTCATACTTTTATTGCAAAATTTGAAGAGAATGCAAAGCAAAGCTTTTTTGTGGCACTAAATGAATGATGATATTAGTTTCCCTAACTTGTTTTCTTTTGCATGTTAGCACTGCTTGTCTAGTTGGCATTACAGGTGTTTTGGCCCCGTTACTTGAGGAGACGGTGTTTCGAGGTTTTTTTATGGTATCCTTGACTAAGTGGTAAAATTCGAAGCACCAACTTACTTTATTCACTACTTGATGTGTATGCTACAATCATTATATTCAGCTTGGTAGTACGTACTTGTTAATTTTCCTTAATGAAATTTAACTTTTAGGTGCTTCCTAAGAAACCCTCATCAAATTTTAAAATTTCTCTGATAATGTGTAGACTAATTTTGTAATACAGGTTTCCAACGCCAGTTTCAGTTCTTCTCAGTGCTGCAGTTTTTGCTCTTGCACACCTCACTCCTGGAGAGTTTCCTCAGTTATTTGTGCTCGGTAAGTTTGAATGGTTTGGTTTTAAGTTTTTCTTATATAGAGATTAGCTTAGATTTAAAATTTATGGTAAATTAGTTGTATGACTTAAAAGTATGGAATATGTGAGATAAATCATGCTAAGGCATGAGCTGATTTGGATTTAATGTTACGACGAATGAAGGTGGCAAGACCATATTGGATTTTTGTTTAGCTTACGATTTTTTAATTGCTAATACTTTACCAAATAATTGGTCCTCATCAATAGTATTAAACTTCTGGGATAGGAATAAATTTGACTATTAGTGTATCTGGCCTAACATTGATATTCTGTTAGGCCGGCATTTGAGCTGGCTGGACTGGTCCAACCCGGACCGGTCCACACCTACTCGAGGCGGAAACAAACAGGGCGGGCGGAACCGAGCGGAACGAGCACATCCGACGGGGGCCAAGGAGGAGTTTTGGGAGGGAAATTTTGAATGCGAGGGGCTGTTTAGACATTTTGTAAAACTCCTTTATGGTTAATTAGGAGGTTAGGAGGAAAGGGGGGATTATCTTGAATTTGAATCAATTTGGAGATCTAGGGTTTGTGTTTTGGGCTCTTGCGTTGCCGGAGATCTTGGAGAGTTTTTCCTTCCTCTCGAATTGAAGGAAATTTGTATCTTGCAAGTGCTTTTCATCTTCCATTGAAATAAAAAGCGTTTGCTCCGTTTTTCCTACGAGATTCTACTGTTTTTCTCAGTTTTCTTCCTGTTTTTTTCTGCTATTTCCTGCGGTGAACAGCAATTGTGCTGTTGAGATTCCCTGGTTTTGGTTAGGAAGACTTGCAAACTCAAGTATTTCCTATCATATTCTTTTAACATGTCAACTTCCTGGTCCGCTGACTGATTTCAACTGAGTCACCAAGCAGAGGAAACTGAGAGATGAAGAGAGATTTTCCTCCTGATTGAGCACCACCTTACACCGTAGGTTTGCATGCTCTTATGGGAGTGGAAATTTGATCATCTGTAAAATACAAAGAAAATTTATTATCAACAGTTATTTAAGAATTCAGCTTTTTGAACTCTAGATAAGATGTTGATCAGTCAAAGCACTTAACAAAATAGATTCTAGATTTTCAAAGTTAAGGTTCTGTAGAGTAAAAAGTCCTGATTTTGAGAGAACTAGGCTTCATTTGGGACGACTTTTTTATTGTTTCTTAAAACAGCTTTCTAGTTAAAAATTTAACATTTTTGCCCTCTATCTATTTTTTAGTATTTATTACAAGAGTTTTTAGGCAATTGACTCCTCTAGAATTTTAAAATATTATGATCTTTATGCAATTGCCCGAGCATAATTAAACACATTGTGTAAATGTGTCATTGTTAGGGAACGATGAATCATATACAAAGAGAAATAGTTAATATAATTCAAAAATATCCTTTTAACCAAAATTTTTTCGGAGGGTTTCACCCCCTGCTTGCGGTGAATGGTGATAGGAAACACTTGGATTTCCAAGTGTTTCTCAC